AGCAGCAGCAGCAGCAGCAGCAGCAGCAGCAGCAGGAGTGGGAGCCCCCGCTGCCTGTGCTGCGGCGAATCCCGAGACGCTTCGTGCATCCGGGAAGGCTACCGAAGAAGCAGCAGCACTTGTTGAGGTCAGCATACACAAGCAGCTCAGGTGTATAGGCAGCTCAGGTGTATAGGCAGCTCAGGTGTATAGGCAGCTCAGGTGTATAGGCAGCTCTCGGGTGTACAGGCAGCCCTCGGGTGTACAGGCAGCTCTCGGGTGTACAGGCAGCTCAGGTGTATAGGCAGCTCGGGTGTACAGGCAGCTCAGATGTACAGGCAGCTCGGGTGTACAGGCAGTTGAGGTGTACAGGCAGCTCAGGTGTATAGGCAGCTCAGGTGTATAGGCAGCTCAGGTGTATAGGCAGCTCTGGGGTGTACAGGCAGCTCAGGTGTAGAGGCAGCTCTCGGGTGTACAGGCAGCTCTGGGGTGTACAGGCAGCTCTCGGGTGTACAGGCAGCTCGGGTGTATAGGCAGCTCTGGGGTGTACAGGCAGCTCTGGGGTGTATAGGCAGCTCTGGGGTGTACAGGCAGCTCAGGTGTATAGGCAGCTCTGGGGTGTACAGGCAGCTCTCGGGTGTACAGGCAGCTCAGGTGTATAGGCAGCTCTGGGGTGTACAGGCAGCTCTGGGGTGTACAGGCAGTTCAGGTGTACAGGCAGCTCAGGTGTACAGGCAGCTCTCGGGTGTACAGGCAGCTCTCGGGTGTACAGGCAGCTCTGGGGTGTACAGGCAGCTCTCGGGTGTATAGGCAGCTCAGGTGTATAGGCAGCTGGGGTGTATAGGCAGTTGGGGTGTATAGTCAGCTGAGTTTGGGTGGGGGTGGCGGGAGACAGGGAAAAAGGAGACAGGAGAATCTTATGTTGCTGCTGCTGCTGCTGTTGCTGCTGCTGCCGTTGCTGCTGCTGCTGCTGCTGTTGCTGCTGCTGCTGTTGCTGCTGCTGCTGCTGCTGCTGCTGCTGCTGCTGCTGCAGGTGGTCTAGGTACATCGCAAGGCAATCCGCAGAGACAGCTGAAGAA